AGGTAGAGATGCAGATAAAAAAATAAGAAACAATTTTTTCTCCAAAAGACAGCAATTAAAAAATACACAAATTCCAGGTATCAGTGACTTACACCTGTAATCCTTCTGAGGATCATGGTTCAAAGCCAGCCTGGGGGGCTGAGAATGTGGCTTAGAGATAGAGTGCTTGCCTAGCATGCACAAAGCCCTGGTTCAATTCTTCAGTGGCATATAAGCAGAAAGCAGGAAACTCCATGAGACTCAATCTTCAATTAACAACCAAAAAACCAGAAGTGGTACTGTGGCTCAAGTGGTAGAGTGCTAGGCTTGAGCTGAAGAGCTGAGTGAGGGACAGTGTCCAGACCCAGAGTTCAAGCCCCATGACTGATGAAAGAAAGAGAAAGAAAGAGAAGGAAGGAAGGAAGGAAGGGAAAAAGAAAGTAAGAGAGAGAGAGAGAAAAAAAAAGAGAAAGAAAGAAAGAAAGAAAGAAAGAAAGAAAGAAAGAAAGAAAGAAAGAAAGAAAGAAAGAAAGAAAGAAAGAAAGAAAGAAAGAAAGAAAGAGAGAAAAGAAAAGCCAAGCCAGACTGGGCAGGGAAGTCCACGATGAGACTCTAACCTCCAGTTAACCACCAGAAAACTGGAAATGACACTGTGGCTTAAGTGGTAGAGCACTAACTTTGAACAAAAAAGCTCAGGACACCATCTAGGCCCTGAGTTCCAGACCAGTACCAGTGTACACATACACATGCACACACACAAACTGAGAAATAAAAACCCACAAACAGGAAAACTACAACTATATAACTGAAGCAGTAGCATATGCATGGTAGCTGCATTTTTCTTTCTCCATTTCTATTAACACATTTTTTTTAAAAAAACACAATTTTCATGGTCCCTCACATAAGGTCAAGTACAGTCAGTCTCTGCTTCAGTACTGTTAACTGATTTCCTAGAGACAGCACAACCAAGGGATAAGAGGCACCAGCTAGGAGGCAAGAGTCTATATTCAAATCCTCATTTTGCCAATTACCAGCTATAGTGAGAGAGAGAGAGAGAGAGAGAGAGAGAGAGAGAGTGTGTGTGTGCGTGTGCGTGTGCGTGTGTGTGTGTGTGTGTGTGTGTGTGTGTGTGTGTAGCAGTACTGGGGCTTGAACTCTTCCTTAGCTTTTTCAATGCTGGCACTCTTACCATGTAAAGCATAGCTCCACTTCTGGCATTTGGCTGGTTAGAGATAAGTCTCTCAAATGTGTCTGCCTAGGCTGGCTTCAAATTGCAATCCTTAGATCTCAGCCTCTTGAATAGCTAAGATTACCGGTGTGAGCCACCAGAGCCCAACTACTAGCAGTGTGATCTTGAGCAAATGTAAATGTGCTGATGCTGAATTTCTTTGCCAATATGATGAGGTCAATCACTCCACACCTCAAAGGAGTGCTATCAGAAACTACATGTGAAATATTTAACACAGGGCCTCCAATACAGGTTACTAACAATCATTGAACTGCCATTTAATTTATGGGTGCCAGCTACTCTGGTTGTTTTATCAGACAAGAGAAAAAAAAAAGACAAATGATACAATTTTGTGTCTGTATGTGTCAGTACTAGGGCTTGAACTCAGGGTTGGATGCTGTCCTTAGTTTTTTCAGTCAAGGCTGGTGCTCTACAACTTAGGCCACAAATCCATTTCCAACCTTTTTATGATTAATAGAAGATAAATGTTTCACAGAATTTCCTGTGCAGGCTGGCTTCAAACAGTATCCTCAGATCTCAGCCTCCTGAGCAGCTAGGATTACAGACAGATGCCACCTACTTGGTTCTTTTGGTTCAATATGGCTTTAAAAAAAAAACAAAAAAAAAAAACTAAAGATTCATTTTAAGAAACACTGCATGAAATTCTTCCTGAAGCCAAAGATTGTTCAATTTTCAATATAATCTCTCCTCCTTTGACTATTTTTGCCCAATTCCAATCTAGTATGTTTGGCTCTTAATAGCATCATGGGTAAATGTTTTGTTGAAAATCATCTAGCAAGTCCCACACTAGTCAACATCAGGAATAGTCAAATTTTGTGGATTTGATGTTTTTCCAATTCTTTTTTCAGAAAATAATAATAATAAAAACCTGTTTATAGGAAGTGGAAGTGTTGCCCAAGTGGTACAGTGTAAAGCCTTGAGTGAAAAAAGTCAAGTGAGAGTACAAGGTCCTGAGTTCAAGCCCTAGTACTGGCACTAAAAAACAAATAAGTAAAATGGTTATCTTCAATAGCAGGACATGGTGATTCATACCTGTAATCCCAGCTACTGGATTATTAGAGCCCCCAAAATTAGGACCAGCCTAGATAATATTCTAAGACTCCATTTCAAAGATAAAAACTGGTTTGAGGGGGGAGGCTGGAAAGGGATGGGAAGGGGAAACAAAGGAGGAGGCTACAATGCTTGATAAGAAATGTACTCATTATTTTGCCCATGTAATTGTAACCCCTCTGTACAGTATTTTCACAATTAAAAAAAAAACAACTGGTTTGAATTCCTGGGGGGGGGGGGGGGTGGAACACAAGTTCCATCAATACCATCAACTACTAAATCCAAAATTCCCTGCAAGAATTTAGGTTAACCTCTAAGACTGGATTAGGGCAGGGAGCTTCAATGACAATTTTTAAAAAGGAACTGTTAAAAACAGAGACTAGGGGCTGGGAAGGTGGCTCAATGGTAGAGCGCTTGCCTTGCATGCCTGAGGCCCTGGGTTCGATTCTTCAGCACCACATAAGCAAAAACAAAAAAAGCCGGAAGTGGCACTGTGTCTCAAGTGGTAGAGCACTAGCCCAGAGTTCAGGCCCCATGACCGGACCCCCCCCCCCCCCCCGCAAAAAAAAACCAACAACAACAGAGGGCCTAAATGAACTATGTAACTTGTGGGTAGGGACAAGAGGGGGGAAATTAAGGAAGAGGTAACACTGTCCAAGAAGCATTATTCTCATAACCTGAATTATGGAACTGTAACCCTTCTGTACAACTCATTAATGATAATTTAAAAAACAACAAGAACAACAAAGGGCCTATCCAGTTAATACAGGCTCCCCTCCCCTATTCTCTCCCATTCCCCAGCCACCGTACCTAATCGCATCTTATTAAAATTAACAAACTTTAGAATAATGGAAATACATTTTAGTATTCAAATCTTGCATTTCTGAAGGACACCTGAGAAAACAGTTAAGACCCATCAAAGACTCTGCTACATACAATTTAAGGTTTTGTGTTCTTCTTTGAGCTTTCAAAAATAAAAAGTCCTCTGGGTGTTGGTGGCTGACGCCTGTAATCCTAACTACTCAGGAGGCTGAGATCTGAGGATCACGGTTCAAAGCCAGCCCGGGCAGGAAAGTCCCTGAGACTCATATTTCCAATAAACCACTAGAAAACTAGAAGTGGTGCTGTGGCTCAAGCACTAGAGTGAGTGCTCACCTTCAGCTGAAGAGCTGAGAGATAGCGCCTAAGCCCCGAGTTCAAGCCCCATGACTGACAAAAAAGTAAAATAGTAAATTAAAAAAAATAAAAAGTCCTTGCTCTAGCCTTGACTCATGTTCTCTTCCTTCATGGATAAGACCCACCCCAAATATCAAGAATGTAGAGTGACCAATGAAGGCTCCAACTGCACTGGATACTTTACCTCTGTCAAACTGTCACTTCTGCCATCTTTCAGCACTACTCAATGATACCTTGTTCTTTAAAAGAGACAAAGGCTCTCACCTAGGTAGCTTAGGTTCCCCCCTAAACTCAAAAACCTCCAGTCTCAGCCCTCCTGTTTCCATTGAAGGCATGCTCTACCACGCCCTGTTTAGCTTTCCTTTTTAACAGAGCCCAGAAGCTTACTGACCAATCAATTCATCAGTGAAGAAGTGTTAGTCCTAGAGTAAAAGCCACCAGTGAATATGCACACCCTCCCTACCCCTTTCTAGTCCAAGTTATGCAGGAAAGAGCCAACTGCTGTAATCGTGGACTAGAGCAGAAGGCAAAAACAGAAATAAGGCCACTCGCCATTCAGTCTTTTTGTCTGGAGCACTTCCTGGATTTTTCATTGGCATTTAATACCAAGACACAAGACTCATTTTTCATTAAAGATGCAAGACTTTCACTTTGCCCAGTTTCAAATGGTGTAATTGATCTGTATTGTCTTCTTAAATAACCCAACTGGTGAAGGACACTGCAGCTTTAAATATTTCAGGGCTAGCTAGCAAATAAGACTCCATGGCAATATGGCTCTGAAGGTCGTGTCCTATTGTCTGTTTTCTTTAGGGGGGGTGGGGTGGGGAATCTAAATCCTTCTTTTAGGTAACATGGGAATGGCCCCCAGAACTTCCACTCTTCCATCTCAGTCCCTTGGAGTTCCCGGTGTTTATTGGAACCTAACACTCATAATTTTCCCAGCAGGAGCAATATGCTGATTGTTATTAATGATTCTAGCACCTTCGTGAGACATCAACACATGTGTTCACATTAGTTTAATTGAGCATATGCAACTATTTGAAATAGCACCACTCAAGGGCTGTTAACCTCTTTAAGAGTAAAGCCTGGGTGGTTTGGGTGTGGATGGCTTTCAGGCGGCACCCTAAGCTTAGGATTGCATAACCTGAAATGTGTGGCTACTTAAAATGATAGGAATCTCAGCCTACTCATCCTGGGACTATGCCGGAACCTTGCCATACACTTTGCAGCTTTGTCAAAGAAGATCAAAATGAGGAATTCACAAGCACAATGAAAGAGAAAATAGAAGAAAAAGGTCCTTTCCTACCCCGACAGGCACATAAATACAGTTCCCCAAGCTGTCACAAGGTTACCCAAACCTCGTTCCCTTCCAACATCCCCCACCCCACCCCGAGATGGAACGGCCTCCAGTGAACTGGTGGCTTTGGAGGGAACTGGGCACTGCTGCTCTTTGAAATAAAAACGGAGGAACGATGAAAAGGATGGGAATAAGGGACAGAAGAAGCCGGATAGGAGGAAGGCATGTGCAGGTGCACCAGGGCATTACCTGAAATGGCAACAGATTGTTACCATTATCGGTCCGGAAAGCGTTATCCTCCATCCAGGACTTGGAGGTGAGCGGGGCCGCACGAGGGAACTTGGGGGGCGCGATCACATTGCTGGAGAAGGGCTTTTTGAGCGGCGAGATGGGGTTAAGCGGGGAGGGTACCCCCACGCCCACGCCCACGCCCACACCCACCGCCCGGCGAGGGTCCCGGCCCGCCTGCAGGCCGCCCCACGGGTTGGACGGAGCGCTCCAGGCTGCATTCACGCTTTGGTGCGTGCTCCAGCTGGACGAAGCGGACGAGGCGGCGGCCGCGGCGGCGGCGGCGGCGGCGGCGGCCGAGGACGAGGACGGTTTGCTGGTCATGATGGGCTGGTGGCCGTAGGCGGCGGCGGCGGCGCTCCTCTGCGCGTAGGGCGCCTGGCTGGGGCTGGCGGGCGACCGGCGCTGCGGCGGGGGCTGCGCCTGGGGAGGCTGCGCCGGCTGCGGCGCCGGCGGCGGCGGCGGCTGCTGGTGGTGCTGGGTCTGCGCCAGGCCGATCTGCGGGGAGAAGGTGCCTCCGAAGACTGGGTTGACGTGGTGCGGGAAGTTCTGGAAGAGCATGGTCCCGTTGACGGGGGTGATCCCCTGGAAGAAGCTGTCCTCCACCGCGTTCGTCGTGCCCGTGGACCAGGTGCTGCCGAAGGACGGAGACAGCGACGCGCCCGGGGCCGCGGGCTCCTGGGGTGGCGGCGGCTGTTGAGGGGGCTGATGGAAACTCAAGCCCGGCAGGAGCGGCGACTCCATCTGCATCTTGTCCGGGCCGTTGGGAGCCGGTGGGGCCGCGGCGGGGCTCAGGACCGGCACTGCGCTACTGTCCTCCGGCTTGGGGGTCTCTGAGGAGAGGGGCGTGGACGGGGCTTCGGCTGCGCTGGGCTCGGGCTGGGGCTGCTGCTGCTGCCGCTGCTGTTGCTGGGGCTGGGTTTTGCTTTTGTCCATCAGTAAATCATCCTGCATGGTTTGCGCAGCTGAAACGGGAAGAAAAGACAGAGAGAGAGAGAGAGAAAGAGAAGCGTTGTTGTCAGTGTGATCATTAATGGCCCTCACTGAGCGGGCGGGTGTTTCACTTGCGAAAATCCAGAGCCACCGCCACTAGCCAATTGCAATGCAAATCCATAATCTCCCATTAGAAGAACAGGTCCGGCCGGGGGAGAGGAAGGAGGGGGCTCGGGCCAGGTCTCTAAAAATACAGTGAGAGCGTCTTCACCCTTTCTGACGTCTCTGTGCCTTCCTCTGTGTGAGTGAGAGGGGTGCTTATAAGATAGAAAGACAGCAATTTTCGCCACGTCTCTTTTCCTTCACCGGAACTCAGCGCGGCCACCCTGCAATGAGAAACTGATTCTGGTTCCTGTTTTTTCCCAAGCACCACCCTCCCCCAGTTATTTGCATACGTCAATAAATACTGCTGCGTCCTTCAGCAAGGTTAAAAAGACACCATTCACGACCCTTCCTTCCCCTTCCCCAGCTCAGCCACTTAAAAGAAAGAAAGAAGAGAAAAACAAGCCGCCGACGTGTCCCTCTTGATTAGCAAACCGCGTTCTTGCCTAGGATAATTGTTTCATTTAGCTGCAGCGAACCACGAGGGAGGAAATCTTTGGCATTTGTTGGGAGGACTCAGCTGCACAATCATCCTCTGGCCTCTCAGTAGCGGCAGCTACTCCATTTTGTCAGGAGACATTTTAATTTAAAAAAAGAAAACGCTTTTTATAAAGGTGAAAACCTACTGAAACGTTTGGAAATGCCTGCTTCTCGTTATTCTTAAGGTTTATGGTTTTCCTGCTTATTCTCCAATTTTCTTGTCTCCCAATACTGCCGCACAAGAGATTTCTTGGCTTCTCAGTGTTTCAGGTCTCTACGGGAGCCTGAGAATTTCTCTGCAGAGTGGAGAAATGCTTCTGGTTGGATTTGAGGTCAGAGAGAAAGAGAAAGGGGGCGGGAGAAAGGGGGGGGAGACTGTGAGATGGAGTGGGGGCGGGGCTTAAAATGCATCTGAGATTTAAGTAGACAGTCAAGATAATTCTGGGGTTGCCAGATTTTCGTTTTTGAATCCTCCTGCTGCTGCCTTGATCACAAGACTTTGGCAAATTTAGAACCCATTCTTTTATCACCAGCATTAACAGTGAAAGACTATGGTTTGACGACCCCGAATTACCATATGCTAGCAAAAGTGTTAAAAATAGAGGAGTACAAATTCCCAAATTCTCATACACTGTAATTATAGTGCAGTGCCATCTCTGCTTCATTTAGCCATATAAGGAGTGCATGGTATTTTCCATTTCGCATAGAAAGGCTATATTCACCTCTGTCATACAGCCTGTTTTCCTATGCAAAGATGAAAATAGTAATCACTCAAAATCAGGTTTTTATACATGTACTTATCACCAAGTTAGCTTGTCTCTTAGAACATGTTAGTTGCTTTAAATATATGAATATTAAAGGCCTGTGGCCCTGAAAACAAATATTTTGAAATGTTAAAGGAGCATATGACCAAACATATAATTATTTTTAGATGATGATTCAGTACAATTGCAACCAAGTTATTAATATATTTCATATAGTTAATTAACTCGTGTACTGGAAAAGCATCTTTCTCAGGACATTTATGAAAGGGCAACCAGATACACATCTCTGCCTTTGGACCTGCTTATAATAATTGTTGTAAAATGGAGATAGTAGTGCTATTAACTATTACACAAAGGATGTCAGACCAAGAACCTAGATTAGAGGTAGTTCCATTTTATTAAAAACTGGCATTAAAATGCTTAACAGATATCTTCCATTTCAAAGTTTCATATAAAAAAATTAGCATGCTCAAATGCTACTCTCCTTCTCACACCCATGCATCTCCCTTTCCCCTAAAAAAAACCCCCAAAATATACATCATGAATTAGCAGCTACTACCACTAAAACCTACTTAAGATTGCCTTTATGTTTCTATGTTCCCTGATCTAAAACAATGGCTTTGATCTGTATTGTAAAATACAACACAAAGAGATAAATGAACCTGGGATACAGACAGCACAGAGTTCTATCACTGCCAAAAAAAAAAATGTCATAGAGAAATTTTCATAGTTGGTTTAAATAGTGCTGCAGTAAAGCATTATAATTCTGAAATTTGACTTGCTTCCAGTGAGCTAGAATTCTCTTTATAATAGACAGACATATCATGGCTGAAAATGCATTTGATTATAATTTTAGTATCACCTAGCTTTGTCTTGCTGCTTGTTAATGTGCTTAATTTAAGCTACATGTTCTTGGTGGAAAAATTAATGCTGTACTATGTAGAAAAAATCCTCAAAAGTAAGCTGGACTCACAATATTTTATAATGGCTACAACTAATATTAACATACTTACTGAATTTTTAAGTGCTAGAACAAGACCATTCATTCCTGTTCTCAGCACATTTTAAAGATACAAATTTCACTTTCTGCATAAATTCACTCTGTCAAGGTCAAGATCCACGTTTAGTAATTAAGACCTTTTAAACAAAAGGTAAACCATGGATTAAGACAAAATTTATAAAGTTAATATGCCTTATCTCTCAATAACAGCCTGTACAGTTTGATTGATTTGAAGATTTTTCGCTTATTTGCAGCAAAGTCTGAAAAATAGAGCTCTCCACCCCTCCCCCCACCGAACACACAATAGATTGTCTTTTACATGCACTAACCCAATTTCAAGTAACAAATTCGTAGTAACAGTTACCTTTGAGTGTCCAGTTTTTAAGGATCGATAAAAATTTAACGTGTACAGTATTTATTTTCTTCTTTCAGGTTGATTATGTGACCGCTCTGGCAAAAGCACTTTGACAACTGTAAGATGAGAGGGCATGCGCAAACAGGGAACTGTGGGGGCTGAAGTCCTCCACAAGGTTCTCTGCCCACTTGAGCACGTTCAGCTGGGAAAGGAGGAAGCCCTGCAAATACAGATTGCTAGGGGAAGAGGTTGTGCCCAGATTACATTATATCCTCATAACCAGCCTAAATCAGGAGTGGTTGAAATGGAGGAAAAATAAACTGGTTTGTCAACTTCATTTAGGAAACCAGGTTAAAAGAGAAACTGGATTGTGGGACAGAATGAATACACCCAGCAGAGCTACCTTAAATGGCATTACAATAGTGATGGCTGAGTAGTAGTAAGCAATAGGAACCCCACTGAAAGAAAGAGACTGGGGTGAGGAAGACTGATGAAGGGAGGGAGGACTACTGAGGAATTTTACTTAAACTCTGACCTTACTTAAAAGAGATACTTAATGTAGACTGAAAGATAGCTTAATACTAAATATGATACTATCCTTGGAGGTCAGGTACAAATAGATTTTAATCAAATTTTTGACATTTTAATCCACCAAGATTTCTTTGTGTTTGAATTTTCAATCACTTATTTTAAGATTTTACTTGATACTCTTCGAATCAATTCATCTTATTTTCACTTGTCAAAGAAAATCTATCTTGTATTATTTATACAATGATTAATCAAATAAAATTCCATTGTTTCATATTAAAATAACATTTGGTAAAATATTAATATTTAGTGATTAGTGCATATGTTTAGTGTTTAACTGTAATTCACTGCATTTGACGGTGCCTTCTTTGTTCAAGACAAAAAGCAACATACAGTTTCTATTTCAAAAAAAATTTTGGTGTATGATTTTTCATATTTTAATCTCATGATTCCAAGGCTGTAATGTAATAACATTAACCTCAACTGTTACATATAGTTTCTGAGCACAATAGCTTAAGAGCCACTTTGCTCATATAGGCAGAAAATAATATTCCTTGTGGGATCTGGTACTATGCCATTCACCCAAAGGGTTCAGGGTAAATGTCAGCTGATGACTATGCTGATTGAACTTGGAACTGAAAATGTTAAGCATCATTTAAAACTGTCTTAATTTTCTATCTCCCTTCCTCACCAATTGGAACCAAAGTATTACAATAGACCATAAATTTGCAGCATCGATTAGTCTTTGTTTCTAGCTATTTCTAAGGAGGGAAACAAAGAAGAAAAGAAGCCAGATAAGCTAGCTCATACCTTCAGTCCCTATATTCAAGAGGCTGAAAGTATAAGAATCACAAGTTCAATGCTAGCCTTGACATAGTAGACCCAAACTTGTGGCTCATGCCTGTAATCCTAGCTTCTTAGTAGGCTGAGATCTGAGGATTGAGGTTCAAAACAAGCACAGGCAAAAGTCTATAAGACTCTTCAATAACCATCAAAAAGGCAGAAGTAGAGATACGGTAGAATGCCAGCCTTGAGCAGAAAAAGCAAATGAAAGCTCGAGGCCCTGAGTTCAGAACTCCAGTCCTAGCATGTGCACACACACACACACACACACACACACACACACACACACACACACACACACTTTCTCTCTCTCTCTCTCTCTCTCTCTCTCTCTCTTAAAAAGAAGCAGCAGGCCAGGCCCTTGGTGGCTCACGCCTGTAATCCTAGCTACTCAGGAGGCTGAGATCTGAGGATAGCGGTTCAAAGCCAGCCCAGGCAGGAGAGACCCCGAGACTCCTATCTCCAATAAACCACCAGAAAACCGGAAGTAGCGCTGTAGCTCAAGTGGTAGAGTGCTAGCCTTGAGCTGAAGAGCTGAGGGACAGCGCCCAGGCCCAGAGTTCAGGCCCCACGACCGGACCCAAAAAAAAAAAAAAAAAAAAGCAGCAGCAGAGAACAATCATGGATGGGAATGTAGCACAGTAGTAGTAGTAGAATGCTTCCTTAATGTTTACAAGGCCATGGGTTTGGTCCCTAGCACAGAGGGAAAAGAAAGAAAGGAGAATAAAAGGGAGGGAGAAAAAGAACAAGTACTTTGAATTAATCTACCAAAAAAAGCTCTGTGTAAAATAAATGCTTGCTTATTTCTGTTCTACTTTTGCCTTATATTCCTCTCTCTTCTTCACCCTTCTCCCTCTCTTCCTCTCTCCCTCTTTTTGATTGACTTATTTTTTTGGGGGGGGGGGTCCAGTCATGGCCCCTGAACTCTTGGCCTGGGCGTTGTCCCTCAGCTCTTCAGCTCAAGGCTAGCGCTCTACCACTTGAGCCACAGCGCCACTTCTGGCTTTTTTCTTTTTGCTTATATGGTGCTGAGGAATTGAACCCAGGGCCTCAGGCATGCAAGGCAAGTGCTCTACCACTGAGCCACCTTCCCAGCCCCTCCCTCTTTTTCTTCCTCCTCCTTTTCCTCAAGCAAGATTAATTTCTGCCAAGGAGTTATACTCAACATTTTCATTCTGCAAGGATCAATTTCAATTAACCTTATTCCCAAAGACTTTGTTACCTACCAAACTTCTACTACATTTTCAGTACTTACAGGGAGTGTGGAGGGGGAGGGGCTCATAAAATCCTACAACTGTAAGAGGGATTATTTAAGTTATTTGAAATTAGTATGTCAAAATTAGAAAAAATTAACTTATTCTGGTGTGTTTAAAATGGTTTACTTGAACACAAACTAATCCACCTGACTCCAAGTGCAGGTCTACTAATCATTCCCATAATGGGAAAGATAAGCATTGATCCTCAACCTTGTAAATGATAATTAGCATACAAATACCTAAATATTTTTGTTTTTGAAAGTGAATTAATCTTCCTTTTTTAAAATGAGCACTCAAATCTAAAAAGAAAATAACTCAAATATAACTATGAAGGTATAAGTACATACCAAACTCACAAATTCTAGGAGGGCCCTGAACAAGGACAAAGCCCTTCTCTACTGAAGAATACTGAGTTTTTGTTGTTGTTGTTATTTATTTTTGTCATTGTTTGCTTATTTTCTGCCAGTCTTGGGGCCTGAACTCAGGGCCTGGGCAGTCTCTGAGCTTTTTTGCTCAAGGCTAGAATTCTACCACTCTAGCCACACTTCCACTTCTGACTGTTTGGTTGTTAATTGGAAATAATTTCCTGCCCAGGCTGGCTTTGAACCAGGATCCTCACATCTCAGCACCCTGAATAGACAGGATTACAGGAATGACCCACCAGCACCCAAATGAAAAACTGTTTTTTATTTCATCAAAATGGAGGCACTTTCTGAATTTTGTTTTCAGGTCACAGAGCTTAACCATAACCTCTTTTGAGTATCATTAAAGGCTATAAAAATAGAGTTCTCAGAGTTAACTCACTGAAATATTCATGGGTCAAATACATCTTTTTGGGATTCCTTCCTTTTCTCTCCCTACTTACATCCTAGAATAATACTTTTAAGCCTGTACAGTTTGTGGCTGCTCCATATATATGTTTTTGTTTTGTTTTACTAGTCCTAGGGCTTGAACTCAGGGCCTGGGCACTGTCCCTAAGCTACTTTAGCTCAAGATAAGCTAAAAGTATAAAAGTATATTTCATGTCACTTGAGCTACAGTGCCACTTTCAGCTTTTTCTGCTTATATATACCAAGGAATCAAACGTAGTGCTTCATGCATACGAGGCAAGCACTCTACCACTAAACCACATTCCCAGCCCTAGTTTTGCTTTTCAAAAGAGGATCTTGAGCCTCCCAAGTACTGGAATTATAGATGTGCCAACATTCCTAGCTCCATACATGCATGCTGAATAAATGGATAAACAGATAACAAAAGATAGTTTTTTATTATTTAAAACAGTCAAGATTTGAGTATTAAATTATATTTCATATAGTAATTTGTCTAGTACTAGTAGCTCATGCCTGTAATACTAGCTACTCAGGAGGCTGAAATCTGAATATCAAGGTTCAAAGTCAATCGAGGCAGGCAAGGAGATTCTAATCTCCACTTAACCAACAAGAAGGAGAAATGGAGCTGCAGCTCCAGTGGTAGAATGCTCGATCAAAAAACTCGTGGACAGCACACGGGCCCTAAGTTCAAGACCCAGTACCAACATGCATGCGCACGGGTACAGACAACAGGCACACACACACACACACACACACACACACACACACACACACACACACACACACACACACACACACACACACACACATTCATATTCTCTCTCTTTCTCTCTCTTTTTTTCTCTCTCTCTGGGTGGCTCAAGTGGTCCAGTGTTAGACTTGAAGGGAAAAGTGAGTTCAAGCCCCAGTACCAGGAAGAAAGAACAAGAGGGAAAAGCACACAATAGTAAGATTTCTGGTATAAATTTACAAATCCCTTAAAAATGGTTATAGCATGGAACTGGAGGCATGGCTAATGAGTGCTAGACATGAGTAGAAAAATCTCAGGGCACAAGCCTAAGGCCCTGAGTTCTAGTCCTACTAATAACACACACATACCACCACCACACACACACACACACACACACACACACACACACACACACACGCCCTATATACACACATACAAAGGTTGCAGCACTTTGTATTTCCACCAGGGATGAACTTGTAAATATGAAAACAATGAATGGTTAAGAACAAAGGATAAGAAACTGGGAAAGGGGCTGAGAAGGTGGCCCAGTGGTAGAGCACTTGCCCTGCATGCATGAGGCCCTGGGTTCGATTCCTCAGCACCACATAAGCAAAAAGAAAAAAGCCAGAAGTGGCGCTGTGGCTCAAGTGGTAGAGTGCTAGCCTTGAGCTGAAGAGCTGAGGGACAGTGCCCAGGCCCAGAGTTCAGGCCCCATGACTGACCCCCCCCCAAAAAAAAAAAAGAACAAAGGATAAGACAATTCCTGTTCTGATAACTAAACAATACAAAGAAATCTCTACTCTTTTGACCTACCAAATAGGACTAAGTTCCTCCTAATATATTTAATACTTCACCATTCTTAATTGTCATTCTTCATCATGTGTCATATTGTCATATAATAATGAAACAGGGATAATAAAGCTATACTTACTGCTCTCTCTTTTTTTGGGGGGGGAGAGGAGGGGTTGGTCATGAGACTCAGGGCCTGGGCACTGACTGAGCTCTTTTGCTCAAGGGTAGCACTCTAACACTTTGAGCCACAGCACCACTTTGGGTTTTCTGGTGGTTAATTAGAGAGTCTCACAGACTTTCTTGCCTGGGATGGCTTCAAACTACCATCCTTAGATCTCAGCCACTAGGATTACAGTAGCTAGGATTACAGGCATGAGCCCCCAGCACCTAGCTTTATTGTTCATGTTTATTAGCTGGTGATTACTTTCCAGTTTTGTTATGTACATATATGTCATAGGAGAAGATGAATAGTATTTATTGATGTTCTGTTTCTAGACTTCATTTGTAATTAATTTTAAAGATTAATATATATGTGATGTATGTGTGTATGTACTTTATGTCTGTGCTCATCTTTCTTTCAAATATTTTATTTTTTTCAGTGCTGGGTTTGGCCTTGTGCATGCCTAGTACTCTACCATTGAAGGCTTTAGTCCTTGTAATCTTTTAAA